CGCCCCCCCCAGCCGCAGCGTGGCTGGGGCCCTGCTGCCTAGGCCAGCTAGGGGAAGTCCTGCAGCAGCGCATGCAGCAGCAACAGGATCTGCTGCTGCTGCTGCTGGCAGCGGCCCTGCAGCACTACCTGCTGCTGCTGCTGCTGCTGCAGCAGCGCGCTGCTGCTCCCACGGCAGAGTCCGCTTCCGGGCTGGCAGCAAATGGGGCTGGGGGGCCCCCTGGCCAGGGGGGCCCCCCTCCTTGGGGCCCTCTGTGAGGTCAATGATTTCTGAGGAGGGCCCCACTTTGGGGCCCCCATTGGGGGCCCCCGGGGGGCCCCCCTGGGGGGCCCCGGGGGCCCCCGGGGCCCCCAATAGGGCCCTGCTGGGGGCCCCGTTATGGGGGCTGAAGAAGTCTTTGAGAGAGCTCTGGGATCCCTTGCTGCTTCTTTTGCTGCAGCCGTTATGGGTGCTGCTGCTGCTGCTGCTGCTGCTGCAAGACATTCCCTCCAGCCTTCGGCGCGGCAAAACCCTAATGAGCGAAGTTAGGATTTGGCCCCCCCCATGGCCAGATTGAGGGTTTAGGGTTTAGGGTTTAGGGTTTAGTAGGGGGAGGGTTTGGGCTGCAGGGCCCCGCTGCGGGAAGTGGGCCCCCAGTAACACCCCCGGGCGGACCGAGGGTTTAGGGTTTACGGTTTAGGGTTTAGGGTTTAGCGTTGCAGCGACAAAATGGCTCCTGAAAACCAAGGATGGCTTTGATTTTGCTTTTGGGGAGTCAGTAGATTAGCGTTTAGGGTTTAGGGTTTAGGGTTTAGGGTTTAGGGTTTAGGGCCCCTGTGGGGCTGATCTTGACCCGAGGCCCTCTGGGAAAGGGGCCTCCCCTCTTCTAGGGTTTAGGGTTTAGGGTTTAGGGTTTAGGGTTTAGAGTTTGTCATTTTGCAATTTGGCGTTTGCTTTTAATTTTTATTTGATCAACGGAGCTTCTTTGTTTCCCCTCGCAGCCTCCTCCCCCAGGGATCTCCTAGGGTTTAGGGTTTAGGGTTTAGGGTTTGGGATCGAAGATGTACCTGCGCTTTTACCTGAACGAAAAAGGCCAGAGGGTTTACACCCTAGCGGTAAGTTCTTGCGTGTGGTTGCTCCCTCCTCCCAGGGCCCAGGCTTTAGGGTTTAGGGTTTAGGGTTTAGGGTTTAGGGTTTAGGGTTTAGGGTTTGGGCGTTTCGCAGAGCCACTCCCCCTCGGGCCAGCCCACCCTATCAGCCCACCCCCCCCGCTTTTCTCCAGATGATAAATTTTCAGCCCAAAGAGTTGCTTTAAAAAAGAGGTTTGGACTTTTGCCCACCCAGGGGCCCCCCCTCCAGTACTAGGGGCCCCCCCGCAGTCTTGGGGGCCCCCCTACAGTCCTGGGGGCCCCCCTTGCAGTCTTGGGGGCCCCCCTTGCAGTCTTGGGCCCCCCCCTTGCAGTCTTGGGGGCCCCCCTAGCAGTTCTGGGGGGCCCCCTGCAGTTCTGGGGGGGCCCCTGGGGTACTAGGGGCCCCCCTGGGGTACTAGAGGCCCCCCTGGGGTACTAGGGGCCCCCCTCTGCAGCACTAGGGGCCCCGCTGCAGCACGGGGGGCCTCCCTTGCAGTGCTTGGGGCCCCCAGTGGGTTGTGCTAAGGGCCCCTCTGCACTGCTTAGGGCCCCCGAGGCGTCACGGGGGCCTCCTCGCTGCAAAAGACTCCCAGGGGCCCCCCTGCTGCACTTGGGCCCCAGGGGGCCCCCTGGGGGCCCCCCGGGGCCCCTTGGGGGCCCCAGGGGGCCCCGTTGCCCCCTAGGGGGCGCCCT